GAGGAGGGGGCTGTGGTGCGGGCGTGCGGAGGACGGGGGCCTGTGGGGCAGGCTCTGGGGGTGATGGAGGCCGTTGGGGGCTGGGGGACCGGGCCCCGGATGGGGAGGCAGCTGTGGGGCAGGCCTGGGAGGGAGGGGTGAGGATTGAGGGCTCTGAGAGGCCCCACGTCCCACACCAGGCATCAGGCCGGGGCCCACAGGCGGCCGCGGGGCGGCTCAGTGTCTCCTCTCTGGCTTGCAGCACACGCCGGAGCAGGCTGGATGCCCACAGGCAGCAGGACACTATCACAGGCTGCCCGGGCACTCGGCAGGGGCGCAGGACTTCTCTTCCCCCGCACACAGGTCTCCTTGCCAAGACCCTGCCTTTGCTGTGCTGGCCTCCCCAGGGCCGGCCCCAATTACTGGTACCAGCTGCTGTTAAGGAGTGTATCTCTCCGGTCCACAGGCAGAAACCGGGGTGGTGGTGCTGGGGCTTTCCATTTCTCCCTGCTTTTGCACGCTTGGCTTCGCCAAGCCTGCACAGCTGCAGAGGACATGGCAGAGCAGAGGTACTGTGTAGACTATGCCAAGCGTGGCACGGCAGGCTGCAAGAAGTGCAAGGAGAAGATCGTGAAAGGAATGGTGCGCATTGGAAAGATTGTTCCCAATCCTTTCACGGAGTCTGGCGGGGACATGAAGGAGTGGTACCATGTGAAGTGCATGTTTGAGAAGCTAGAGAAGGCCCGGGCCACCACCAAGAAAATCGAAGACATCACAGACTTGGAAGGATGGGAAGAGCTACAAGATGGGGAGAAAGAATTAATCAACAAGCACATCTCAGGTGAGACGCAAGGCAGCACCTGGGTCACTTTTCTACTTTACTCATTTTCAAGGTATGCCACCGATTGCCACACAGTCGTGCCTTTACCACGAAATCCTCACTGATGTATTAGTATGACCTAGTGACAAAGTGGGTAGCGCTGCTCAAATCTGTGTCTCAGCTCTATAGGAAAGGGAAGAAGTAGTCACTTCTAGAATAGCACTTCTTAATTGATTTGTCACAACTGATTATGGAGAAGGTCTACGTGATTTAATTCACGTGCAGACACGGGCAGATAAATCCCAGGAGGAGGCATCAGTTATCTTCCATTTTCAGCTTTTTTCCCCATGATCTTTAGTAAACTATGTAGTCATTTAACTTTTGATATCTGAAAAATGTTCCTTCAGTTTTTTTCTCCTCTATCCCCAGTTCTTTTAAGACTTGTTTGTTGCAGTATATCTTACATAATATGTTGAGGGATGTACGAGATTATTTCTGACTGCTGGTTTGAACCTCGCTGTTTTACAGAAGCTAATTCCAAGGCTGCAGGTACACCGAAAAAAAAAGTGATAGTTCAAGCTAAGCTCACTGCCACAGGACAACTAACTACAAAAGATCCATTAGCTCTCATCACTCCATCACCAAAGAAGTTCTCTGGCTTCACAGGTAGGACTCAAGAAACTGATTCTGGGAAATCCTTCTCTTCTAATATCAGCATCAGAGGTGTTTTAACTTGGCTCAGATCAGTAGTTTTTTATCGATAGAAAATGGTTTAGTTTTAATTACTTTTTTAAAGTCTGGTTTGCCAAAAATTGTTAGTGCTTTCTTAGGCTGTCAGTCTTGAAAGAACTGATGTTAGAGTTTCTGGTATTCCCAAGGAAACAAAGTTTATGCAGTAACCCGCATTGTCAGGCTGACTCCACTACTGCCTTAGTCCGTTGGCCACTTTCAGTCAAACTGTGAAGATACAGACTAAAGATATCCCACGTGGAGCTCAAAACCTCTAAAAAATTGGTTGTGAGGGATTCCCAGTTGCAGTGTTCGTGGAAGGGAAGACTGTTATTCTTCAGCAGCTTGTCCTGAGAAACAGCTGCCAGCGGGACAGTCAGTGTGTGAGCACTGACTGACCTGACACAGATGTGTAGCTCTGAACCACCCAGAGCACGTGTTGCCACATACACAGCCAAAGAGATGAGAATGTGTAGGGGTGTTAGTATAATGAGAGAAGAGGGGATGGGGACGTTTTTCCCCCATTTTGGAAATGATCTTAGGAAAACATCTTGCTGTGAAGGGCAGAGGCCTATAAAGTAGAAATAGAAGAGAAGCGTCTGCCAGCAGGAATTCCTTTTCACCAAGGTTTAATCATATTTGTCTGGTAGAATTAAGGTCCAGAAAATTCTGGTGTACTGTGAAGAGCAAAGCTAACGAAAAAATAGTTTAATTTTTTTTATGGTAATTAAAAAAGTCACAAATTTTGGCGTAGCACACATCATTATTCAGTTCTAAAGCTTTGCCAGCATACTGGGATTGTTCTTTTCAGCTTGCCAAGCAGAGGTAGCTTCAACTTCAAAATTTGCACCACATTGTACTTGTTAAAAAAGCAACTTGTTATGTCTTTGATGCAGCCAAGCCAAAGAATTCAGAAGATGTCTCTGCAAACTCTTCCCACAAGTCTAGCCTATCTGCAAAAAAATGTGATCCGAAGCACAAAGACTGCTTGCTGCGAGAGTTCAGGAAGCTCTGTGCCACGGTTGCTGAAAAGCCTAGCTACAATGTGAAAACACAGATCATCCAGGATTTTCTGAAGAAGGGATCTGGAGGAGGTATGATTCCTGCTTGGCATTCTCAGCATATGAAAGCCCTCTCAAAATCAACCTCAAAGTATTATTTCAAAAGCAAGGGTGAAATAAAATCTGATTGCTGTGTAGTCCAAGCTGTGTGCTGTGATGATTTCTGAACTATGGAGATAATGTTTGCAAAGTGAACTGTTTATCTAAATAAAAAATTCAGATAAGAATGTCTTAGTCTAGGATTGTGGGGAATGGTTGTAGGTGCTGCCAAACTTAGTGCTGAGATCAGATTTGGAGGACAATTGTGGGTGTTTCCCCTAAGAAATCTCCTTTCACGTGAAGCAGAACAGCATGGTGGAAAGAGGAAGCCCGAGGTGCGGGGCTTTTTTCCCCAGGGCCATGCTAATGGGCAACAACCAGAGCCTGTATGTGAAAATAAATTGTGACAGTTTCTAATGGTCTGTGCCTTGTTTTCCAGATGGTTTTCATGGTGATGTGTACCTGACCATTAAGCTGCTGTTACCAGGCGTCATTAAAATTGTTTACAACTTGAATGATAAGCAGATTGTAAAGCTGTTTAGTAGGATTTTTAACTGCAGCCAAGAAGAAATGGTCCGGGACCTGGAACAGGTGAGTACGGACAGCAGTTCTCTTAATTTCTGCTGTTCAGTCCCTTGGTATGGAAATTCTGTAATTTTTTTTACTCCTATTTGAAAGATTGTTAGCTTGACTGTTAGAATGGGAGTTGGTGATTTTTTTCTTTTTTTTTTTTTTGCTTTAGCAGTTTTCATAGCACTTTCTGCCATCTGGAACCTTTAGAAAACAGTATTTGAATAGAAAGCAAGATACAAATTCACCTGCAAAACTTTAGAAAGCAAGACTAAAATATCTAGGCAAGTTGGGCTGCATCCGCTTTGTCTAAACTGCTTGGTCTAGCATATTCCTATGTAACTGATTTATATTACTTTTTTTGTAACATCACGTATCAAAAACTCTGTGATTCAATTAACAGATCTGTTACGGTGAGCTTAAGTTGGTTCATACAATTACGCTACGCTCATATAATTGCAAGTGCTCACATGCGTGTACTTCATTCCTGTGCATAGGAGTTGGTAATTGACTGCACGCTTCTGATTCACTGCAAGATGGAGAAAATAGGTGAATCAGATAATGAAGCTAATTCTTTCACCTCTGTTTATTGCCTTGGTATATACTGCCTTCTAGTGACATCACTAGACTGTTTCAGATCCTTGGATTTACAAGTGGGTTCATCCTGAATGATGACCCACAGAAATAAAGGGTCTGATGCTGCAGCAGTGAAAAATAGAGCAATGAGATGATACTGGTACTCTTACTTTTTTTTTGCAAATGAAACAGCTGAGAAGCTTTATTCTGTGTCGTGGCAGCTTTTTTCTAATGTTTGATTCCAATTCCTTCGTGCAATCCCAGCATCATTCCTGTGCTTTATCCTACTTTTTGGAACCATGTTGAATCCCCAGTGGCGTCCCCATTCTCTAGCCATAGCTCTGATCCACAGCCTTTTGTTTTTGGAGACAGGGAGATGTTTCCGAGACCGTCCGCCTCTTCTTTGAACAGAGCAAGTCTTGTCCTCCAGCAGCCAAAAGTCTCCTGACCATCCAAGAGGTAGATGAATTCCTAATCCAGCTGTCAAAGCTTACTAAGGAAGATGACCAACAAAGCATGCTGCAACATATCACTTGCAGGTAAGGAAAGTAATCGGCCTCTGAAGGTTTACCCTAAAACTAGGAGTGGTTATCCGCGTATCAGAAGCTGGAATAGGTGAAAACTAATCATAAGCCACAGAGACTGAACTTTGCATCTGTAAGCCGCTATTAGTGGTTTGATTAAGACACCCTGACTGCTGACCAGCAATGGAGAACATGTACGGCTCCTGTTCATGCCAGAGAATTTCATCCTTGCCTGTCAAGACACTGTTCAATCGGTACTAAACAAGTGGCTTGCAGAACTACCTTAATGGTACTTAGCTGTTAATTAAGTTGCTGTTCTTAGGTACGTTGGGAAAAGCCTTCAAGCCATTTAGACGTGTTGAAGATTCTTGGTCTGGCTCAGTTTGTGTTGATCTGAGGCTGAGGATGTTACTATTGCTTAATCTTGATGCGTTAATTAAGTGAATTTTGGAAGGTGCGTCAACACTAAGGCAGAATTAATATTGGCATTCAAACATAAAGATGCTAAAAAGCCTTTTGGATATTCTCTTGTGCCTCTGAGATGTCACTAGTAACATGTGTCCTCATTTGAGTTTAAACCCTACAGAAGGGGAGGACCTTTTTTTAGAGAGGCCTGGATCAGTTAATTTTTTTCAGCTGAAAAGTAGTTTAGTCAAATGTCTACCATTTCTGAATCTTCTCTCGCGCTTCAGATGTACGGGCAACGACCTGAAATGCATCATCAGGCTAATTAAGCATGACTTGAAAATGAATGCTGGAGCAAAGCACGTGTAAGTCTTACCTTTCATTGTGAGATAAAATCAGAAGTGGGCATTAGCCTCATAAGCCAGGAGCAGCAGACCTGAGATTGATCCATGTTTCCCTCCTCTCCTCAATTTGTTAAAGGTTGGATGCTTTGGATCCCAATGCTTACGAGGCGTTCAAAGCATCACGCAACCTCCAGGATGTGGTAGAGCGAGTCCTGAAGAACCAGCAGGAGGCTGAGAAGATGCCAGGTCTGAAGCGAGCCCTCAGCGTGCAGGCCTCTCTGATGACCCCGGTTCAGCCCATGCTGGTAATGTTGGCTCCCCTGCAATGGTAACCTTCAGCCAAGCAAGAGATGGAGTTCTCATATGTACTGTCAGAGACCCTCACCTTTAAGAATCAGTAGACGGATAAGTGACTGTGTGTGGTACGAGCTAATAGAGTGTGCAGTGCTGATTTTTATGTTTAATGCCATTTTATAAAGTGTTTTCTACCAAGAGGCCACTATTCAGTGTACTCGGTACTTGCACCTTCAGTGCCACTGCAGAAGCTGAAGTCTTGACTTGCTTTCAGTCCAGAAGTGACTTCTTTTGTTTGTTTGCTGTTGTTCCAGAAGTTGATCCTTTCTCTGGAAATAGCGTAAGCTTTCCATTAGAGATTCAGATAAGTTTGAGATTCTGATCAGAGATTCAAATAAGTTTGTTTTTTTGTTTGAACAAATCGGAGTTAAATATTTACTTCTGGGCTAAGTGCACTGCTACAAAAGGCACAGTACTTACACCTTTAAGTATTTGGAGGAGATAAGCACTGAAAAGCTGTAATTATCTGGGCATATGCACGTGATTCTAAGTAAATGAGTAACTAAGAAAAGGAAAATTTAGACTAGATATCAGAGGCCCTGGACAAAAAGATCTACGAAGGAATTGGTAGTTCATTCATGAACTTAGGTAAGAGTAGCTTTATTTTTAAATATATCATCTGAGTTTGTTTGGAACTGACCTCTCTCCACCTTTCTAAGGCTGAAGCCTGCAAGTCAATTGAGTATGCCATGAAGAAGTGCCCAAATGGCATGTATGCAGAGATCAAATACGATGGCGAGCGGGTGCAGGTCCATAAAAATGGAGACCATTTCAGCTACTTCAGCAGAAGCCTCAAACCTGTCCTCCCACATAAAGTAAGCACCTATAAAGTCTCTCTTCTGTTGTGCCAGCTCCTCTATAAACACGGCTGAATTTCACAACAGTTTCTATAGGCAAGGAGGATACCTTGTGTTGCAGACTTTTTTCTAATTTATGTAGATACTTGGAATTTGGAAATGCAACACTTAATTGTAATCAATTAGTTTTGGTGGACATTAAGAGCTTGAAACTAAAGTTAAGCTATCTGCCTTAGAGTCCTCTTTATACACTGCATTTTGGGAGGCTTGATGCCAGTTGGGTGACTTGGTTACATTTGTTCAAGACTCATTTTTCTATTTGTAGACTGCTGTCTGTACCATAGTAGAAAGTAAAGCTAGTGCAGATATGCCTACACATGTCTCAGACACGCTTCTGGAGAAAACATCTGCATCGGAGTGAGTCCCGCTCTTCAGCCAGTAGATGTATTTTTCTTTTCTTTTTTTTTTTCCCCAAGGTAGCCCATTTTAAGGACTTCATCCCCCAGGCTTTCCCTGGTGGGCAAAGTATGATCCTGGATTCAGAAGTTCTTCTGATTGACAACAAAACTGGCAAGCCACTTCCTTTTGGGACTCTTGGTGTGCACAAGGTAAAAAAAAAAAAATCCTTTGTTGTGGTTGGAGGCTGTTATTCTGCTGACTTAAATGCACTAGCATGCGATCTGTTATCACAGGATAATTTAAGAGATCTGGTGCTTGCTAGAGCATCTGGGGAAAAAATAAGTTCCCTGAGAAGGTTGATGCTAATGAAAAGATACTGCTTTAATACAATAGATTTGATATTAACCTAATCATTAGCAGGACAGTAAGAAAACTTCAGCTCAAGATAAATATTAAAAAACCCTTGGAAAATCTTGCAATTCCATCATTGCTTATCATTGCTTGAGCAACGTATGGCAGACTGGAAGACCACAATGATGCAGAGAGTATTTAGTCTGTATGAATATTACGTAGTGCTTATGTCTAGACTAAATGGTGGCAAGGAAGAGGACAGTAAAATGAAAATTAAACTGTAAGTGCTTTAACTTAAAGTAGCCATTAATCTGAAGTCCCTGGAAGGCTTGTTGGTTTTTTGTTGCAGCAGTAGTGACAGATGCTACATTGCCCAAAGTCGTTAATATTTGTGGCGTTATTTCCCCGTCACTAGGAAATTAGCATGTTTTACCTTCTTAGTTTGTGCTTTGACACATTCAGTCTAAATCTTAACTCTCAGAATACTTCTGTCTTTTAGAAGAGGCCTAAGCTGATTATAACTAAAAGATTATGGAGATAAAAATACATCCTTTTGTTTCTGTTATTTTTCTAAAACTCCACATTGCTGCTTGCTACGACTGCAGATTTCTTTTAATCACTCTTAATTGTCTTTCAGAAAGCTGCTTTCCAAGATGCCAACGTTTGCTTGTTTGTGTTTGACTGCATCTATTTCAATGACATCAGCCTGATGGACAGGTATGTGGCTGGCATAGTGTGAGAGTAGCCTGACTGGTTTCCCAGCATGAACCTGCTGGAATACGCTACCACTGCAGAGGGAGCAGTTCACATTGGCTGTTAAGACTGGCCACTTACCCCTGTAAAATCAAGACAGCATGGGAGAATCCTTGCTCTGCTAAGGAGTTTCACTATGGAGCTCCGTCTTGCTCTGCAGTTCCAAAATACCAGGATTAACTGCGTTTCAACTGACCTGAGTGTGGTTCAGTACCCAGCTCATCTTAGATCCTCTGAAACTAAATGCACTCTTAACACAAAATTTCTGTTTTATAACTTACTTCCCGGAGGAAAGTAAGAATTGATTGTCCTTTCTGGAACTCTGTAGGATAAATCATTTAATTATTTAATAGCTTTTCTCAATCTTCATGTGACTGGTACTTCATGTTAAAATTGCTCGCTTGTCCTTAATTATCCGTATCCTGGTTTAGGCCTCTGTGTGAACGTCGTAAGTTTCTCCATGATAACATGGTTGAAATCCCCAACCGGATCCTCTTCTCGGAGATGAAGCATGTCACAGTGAGTTCAACATTAAAGTAGCATGCATGGTGATCTCATAGATTGCACTCTGGACACTTCATTGCTCCTTTACCTCATGGCCTTTTTTATGATTAATGCTGCAAACCCAGCAATTCCCTGCCTGTCAAAATGGTTCTACTTCTGATCTGTGTGCAAGACTTCCTGAGATAGCGTTCTTCAAGAGGGCCGTGCCTGTGCTCCCATCTTGTCTAGGCTACAACCACTTCAGTATAGTCTTAACTTGCACATCTCTGTTTTTGGCTTCTTAATGATTTTGTAGCCATTGTAACTTCGACATTGTTAGGAGGAGCTAAAGCCTGTTGCAACTTTGTACTGTGCAATGCTGAGCTGTGTAAAGAAGACTGAAGTATGATTGAAGGGAGCTAAACTGCTTCCAGTTCCCAAACTGGCAACTTCAAGTGCCACACAGCCCAAATACATCCCGAGTGCTAAAAACTGCATTTAGACAGCAGCATGCTCAGTTTTTCCTTTGATTGTTATGCACAAAGCCCTGTGCTCCGTTATTTCTCCCCACTGCTACTGATTTCTGTTTCACCTTGGTTTTAGTGGAGAATGCTTGGACATTTGGGGCAGAGAAAGCAGTGTCTTGGAAGAAGAAAAGAGCATAGGTCCCAAGGCAGTTGGATAGAGAAGTAAGCAGGCACTGCTGACTGAGGAAAATCTGATCTTGTACGTATGGGACATACTTAGGACACAATCAGTGTGGCTACCTTGTCTCTGAGGAGTATTTTTTAACTAACGAACCATTCTCTTCTTGGGACATATTCTCAGCTTAGTCACTGGATGTGCAGCAAAGAGAAAACGTATGGGACTCTCCTTGGAAAACTATTTTATGAAATTACCCATTAATCTCTCTGCAGTTGCTTTGGTTTTAGTGCACCGCTGCTCCAAATAGAAAGCCTGAAGACCACAGCCCTTTGACAGCCTTGAGCTAACCACGATTCCTTTCCTTTTAAGAAAGCTTCAGATCTGGCAGATATGATCACCCGAGTCATCCGTGAGGGACTGGAAGGACTGGTGTTGAAAGATACGAAGGCAGGTTCACATTTACTCTTCACTGATGCATGCTGGGAATTGGGGAATAACAACAGACAGAGGTCTGTGGATGAAGCACACAAGGCTGACCATCCTTGAAACATCTCCGGGTTCTTATCGATGCTGACATCCAATCCAAGTTGCTCTTATATATCTGAGCACTGCTGTGCTCTGGTACCGCTAAGCTGGATAAAAGCAAGGGCTGTTTGAGGAGATAGCTGTCCACCGGATGGTCTTTCTGACTGGGGGTTCTTGCCTTCTTTTGCACAGGGTAATTATGAACCAGGAAAACGACACTGGCTGAAAGTGAAAAAGGACTACCTAAATGAGGGTGCGATGGCTGACACAGCAGACCTGGTGGTGCTGGGAGCTTTCTACGGACAAGGCAGTAAGGGTAAGTCTCTGGAGTTGGCTTAAGTCAGAGATCTGTCAGTTCAGAAAACTCTCAAGCGGTTTCCTGTTCCAGGCCTCCTGTAGTATTTGGTCTCCAACCAGAATGAGGCTGGCTGTAGCAGTGACTGTGTGCTGCAGCCCATCACCTGCCAGGCTATGAGCTTACTGTCGGTTAGTTGGCACAGCAAAGCCTTAGGTCTTGGGCTGGGCCTCCAACACAGTGGAGAGGCTCTCTGTTCAGCTTTGTATATGGGAGCTGATGCTGTGAAGCCATCACAAGCCCAAGGCCCTTTGACTCCCAAAGATGGAAAAGGGTTTTGGTTCGTTACTTCGCTTTTTGAAAAGCTGTGGCTTGTCCCGTAGATGATGTGAACACCCTGCTCTCCCCTCCTGCAGGTGGGATGATGTCCATCTTCCTCATGGGCTGCTATGATCCCAAGAGTGAGAAGTGGTGCACTGTGACCAAGTGTTCCGGTGGCCATGATGATGCCACCTTGGCGCGTCTGCAAACAGAGCTGGATATGGTGAAGATCAGCAAGGTGAGAGGGGCTCTGGCATGGAGGCGATCAAAGGAATGCTCAGCAAGGGGCTTGGTAAAAGCCGCCTTCCTGCCGAGCTACCGTTGAGGTGCTGGCTGAATGCGGAATTGAAGTGCTCTGCTGGGAATGAATAGAGGCTTGATTAGAGTTAAAGCAGATAAACTGCTCTGACACAAATGAGATGGAGGTGCAGCCAGCTCCTGAAGAGAAGTCGCTGCCTGAGATTTGTACTCGGACACTGAGCGGGAAGCCAGGCGCCACCTGTTTCCTGCTAAGACAAAGTTTTATTGGGAAGAGCAGAGCAAGTACCATTCTTGGGGGCATATTGCGATTGGTGAAGACAGTCACTAGATGGGGCTGTAGGTGAGAAATGCTCAAGTCAGACTGTTGTCTTGTGGCTAGATAACCTGACATGTTGGAGTTAAGACTTTTTTGAGTGACTTATTCAGGTGAGGAATCTTATTTTTCAAGACTTGACATACAGAGAGCTGAATTTTAATATTTACTTGATATCCTGAAGGCCATTTGCATCACGGTTATAGAATCTTAAAAAATGTGTAGTTTTATATGAATCACAATTGGAGCAACAATGTTACCGTTTTACATATAGAATGACAGTAATTGAGAGCTGTGTTACAGATAATTTTTGTGATTCTCTAGATAAGAGAAACTGCTGCACATCAGTGCACCTTGCACTGCAGGCGAAAGCACATTTCATCCATACGAAGGCAATGTAATACCTATGTGCTAATCTACTTCTAGGTTATCTTTCAGCAACTTCTTTTGTAGAAATAGGTTCATATACGATCATAAGTGCTATCATTTTGGTTTTCTGCTTTTAATTAATAGGATCCTAGTAAAATTCCAAGGTGGCTAAAAATTAACAAAATCTACTACCCAGACTTCATCGTCCCAGATCCAAAGGTGAGTGCTGTCATACTCATTTAACTATGTTTTCCAGCCCTGATATAGCAATCTACTAGACTTCATTGAAGTGTACAAATTGTCTCTGTTACAAGATTAGTCTTCATACTTGGAACAGGAAATTAAGCGCAAATTTTTATCTCTGAATCTTGCAGGTGCATTTGAGGCTAAGAGCTTCATGAAGAAATCATACCTGCAGCACTTCTGGGAAATACTCTTGTGCATTAAATCCCTTCCAGAAATGAACTTACTTTAAATTTGAGGCATGAAAAATCCGACTTAAAACGGTTGAAGCACAACTGTAACCCAAAAGTTGCTATTTTTTTACAAAATTTATCAGTATGCTTTGTGCCATGTATGTCTGATAGAAAAGGTGTTATTCAGAAATTGGCATTATATATTAGTTGAGGATTTCTGACTCGCTGAAAAAAACAGAAGTTTTTCTAATTGAGGTGACCAAGAAGGTCAGTTTGTGTATATGGAACTCTGTGTGCTGGGGCAGGGAGGGGGGGTTGTTGTAGAGGAACACAGACGCGTTAGACTTAGTTCATGAGAGAACACAGGAACGCGATGTGACTTCCTCACTACTGTGTTTAGAAAGCCCCAGTGTGGGAGATCACAGGGGCTGAATTCTCTAAAGCTGAAGCCCACACTGCAGATGGGATCTCCATTCGCTTCCCTCGCTGCACCCGCATTCGAGATGACAAAGACTGGAAGACAGCCACCAACCTCCAGCAGCTTAAGGTGAGTTAACACGGTATGTCTGCAGCATGTTCGAGAATAAGTTCTGACAACAGTCTATATTTAAAAAAACAAATTCAGATAGCGGGGTATGTAGTGAAGATATCTGCTGACTGGTACCTATGATGGCATGTTACATTTTCCATTTATTCTAGGCTCAGGCTGCTTGCTGGATTATTTTGCTGTGAATCTTATTGTTTCATGGGGCCCCTCGAGTCTCTTGAGCTGTTGTGTTGTGCACTTTCAGGAAAGTCTGTGCTGGCAGCTAGTCGTATCAGCTCTTGTAACAGCCTTCATGGTGAGGAATTTCCTTCCTGAAAGAAGTGACCTTTATTCTCTTAAGTGTTTATGGTCATTCGGTCTCCCATTAATTGCTGAGACTGGGGGAGGCATCTGGGAAGTGACTGAGGTTAGCCTGACCCAATTCCAGGGTGCGGGGGCCCAAATGGCAGTCTGCCAGGACCCCTGGGGCTGCACCCACCCCACGCTGCTTCTACGCCTCCTTTACTGATAGAAAGCGGTTGGCTTGCTGCCATCCCCAGCAGTAAGTCAGCTGTTGATGAGCTCTGTTCTCAGTCTAGTTATTGTCGTTCGGGCTGTCTTCACGCTGCCTACAGGGGTACTGGCAGCAGGTTCAACTGCTTGTTAGGCCATCGAAGCAAGGAGTGTTTCAGCCCACCTGCTGCCTAGCAGTCTTTCTGGCTCCCTATGCAGGTAGGGGAGAGAAAGGTAAAATACCCTCTTCAGACAGCCTATTCCCCGAGCGAGCAATGGGTATTGTTCATCTTTCAGGCTAGGGAGCCAGGCTCTGAAGAGTTTGTCTTGCTCTGTAGCAGATCGTGTGAATATGGCTTTTGGTACCTCCCGGTATGGCTTCCCTTAATGTCAAGCAGCTGGGTGGAACGCAGAGAGCTTGAACAAAGTTGACAGGAAAATGGCTACAAAGAGGTGCAGAAAGAAAAAGTATATGAGCAAAGACTTTGGGGGGGGCAGGACAAACAAGAGGAGCCACATGCATTATGGCTCTTGTCTCGTATCAGAGGTTTCACTGTGGCTAAAGGCAACGCTTTGTTTCTGGTGGGACAGGAGCTGTACCAACTCTCCAAAGAGAAGGCTGATTTCAGTGTTGCTGCTGGGGAGGAAGACGAGTCCACAGCTGGCAGCAGTGGGGAGAATGAGGGAAATTCCCGGTCTTCCACACCACACAGCACTACTAAAACTCCCCCAAGGAAGTCACCTGCAAAAGCCCAGAAGCTAGAAGGTAAGATGGTGCTTTCCAGGGAGAGGACCCTCAGGGAGTGTTCTCTGCATTTGGGGCAGGCTGGCTTTGGATCTTTGCCTTCCGTCCGATGCTCGGGAGATCCCGTGGCAGCTTTCATGTGCATGTCAGGGTTAATGGGCAAAGCTGTTTAGACCCTTGGTTTGGTCTGTGGTGTTCACAGCATGGACTGAATAGCCACAGCTCTGAGGTGTGCTGGGATTGAGAGAAGATGGAAACAGCACTGATGGTGCTGTTCAGGTTGGTGCTTAGGCAACTCATTTAGACAATAAAAGCTCTCTGAGATTATATGCTGCTTAGAACAGGTATCTTGAACCTAGCAGAGTCTCAGTTATAGTTAGTACCAGAACTACTTTGGAGGGATTTCTCTGGGACTGCAGTCCCTTTTAATCTTCTTAGATAAAGGTCCTTAGCAGACTGTGTAAGACTGGTCTGAAGAGCAAACCTGCTGCTCCTGTTCCTGCAGATCACATGCCCTTTGGTTAGACGTTTTTGGCCATGAACCAGTATTTAATTTTATTTGGATGAAATTCATGCATATAATAGGCCACCTGGATGGAGGGGATTTCCAGGTAGTAAATTGCAAAGCTGTGAAATGAGTTTGCTTCACCAGCGCTTTGTCACTGGGGAATAACTTGAAGCAAATTTCTGAGCAGTCTCAAAAAGGCAGTGTGGTGACAGCAAGGAGGGAAGCTGAACAGCAACATCCTGGAGATGAGGGCAGGAAGATGCCCTGCGCCATTTGCAGCAGAAAAATGTGTCTTACTAGTTATATTCTAATTCATGGATTTTTCAGAAAGAGGGGGGAAAGGCCTTTTACCCTCCTCAGTCTTCTCCCCCCACTTTAACACACAATCAGTATCCGGACAGAGAGCACAAATGAGACAAGTTTTTGTTTTTAGAAAGCAAAGCAGTCATTGGATCCCCTCAAAAATCAGAGGAGAAACGAGGGGAGAAGCGAAAAGCATCCGAGATGGATGACAATGGAAAAAAGGTACAGACAGCTGGGCAGCAACCACTTTGGGGTGGGAGGAAGCAGAGGCAGTTTCAATTGCCTGTTCACTTTTGCCTTCCATCTGGAAAAGTCTTTGAAATCTTCCTATAGCAGCACCCTAAATTAAAATGAAATGCAAAGGCAGAAATAGCAGCAACAAGCCCCCTTGTAAAGGAAGCGGATGGCTGCAGCTCTTCTTTCCCGTCTGCAGAGCTGACATAACTGGGTTTGTCCTGCTAAAGGCCGATACCCTGTTCACCCACCAACAATGTCCTGCTCCACGAAGTGGAGTGATTGCTGAGCAGCTACTCTTCCCGACTGCTGCATATGGAAGAGCTGGGAGCTGTAAAAGGAGAGAACTGTCCTTTCTAGCCCATTGTGCAGCAAATTGTAGGATTGGGTTAAGAATCACTGAGATATAATTTCCTGATAAGCCTGGAGTAGCTGTTTTGATGTCAGCAAGTCCTCTCCCAGTGCGGTTATGTTCTCCTACTTTAACTAAGAAGCATCAGCTTGCAAAGACGAAGACGTTAAGATAATGTTTACTGGACCACATCAGCATCATCACCAAGGGGAACAATGGGGTAATAATTCCCCTCAGCTAGGGGTAGGGAAGCACTGTTCAGCTGTAACATCTGGCTTTCAGAGGAACTGTATGGGTGTTGCTCTTGTGTATGATTTAATGGCAGTCCAAAGAGCAATTTACAGTTGCCAGGCATGGGATTAGAATGATAACCTCGGGAACTGTGAACGGACTCGTTCATGCCTCAAAGAATTTAATGTGATTTCCAGACCAATCTAATGTTTTTACCAACCTGTGCTTCTCATCCTCTTTCACGATACGCAGATGCTGCTGGACATATTCACTGGTGTGAAGCTGTACCTGTCGCCCTCTGTGAAGGACTTCGACAAAATCAGGCGGTACTTTATAGCGTATGATGGGGATCTTGTGCCAGAGTTTGACACAGCCTCAGCAACACACGTTATAGGGGACATTGATGAGAATCCTGGTGCTAAGCGTGTGTCTCCCAAGTGGATCTGGGAATGCATCCGGAAACGGAGACTGGTAGCCCCATGCTAGCAATGCGGGGCAGCCGACCAGTCTTGACACAAGAATTCCCTGAAGGGAACAGCTGAGAACTAGGTAGGTGGAAGAAAGGGTGAGATTCCTCCGTGGACACACGGATAGAAATAAAATGTCCAAGTCCATCAGCGGTAGTTATAAAGATCCATAGCAACCATACAGGATTAATTAAAACAACTCTCTGAAGAAACGTCACTGCTGAATCCATTTTTCTGCCCATAATGTAGAACAAGGCACTTATCTAGGTGCTGGTTTAGTCCCCTTGGGTTTTTAAAGTTTGGGTATTTTTATAGATAAATAAAACTGAAGCAGTTTCTCCTTTGCTGTCAGGACTTATTTTCCAAAGGTTATTCTCTGCCTGGACAGGAAAACAGACCACCAACTATGTGAAACTATTGGCTGTACTGCCGGGATAATTTTGCTGCATGGCTACAATTTACACGAAGGACGCGCGTCCTCCTGGTTTGACTTTTCTTTCCTGTCTTTTAACATTCAGCACAGGTCTGTATCCAGTAGCAGTTTACACCTCTGCTGTAGGTTTCATAATAAAACTAGGACACCAAATAAGCTTCCATTACAGCAACTGCTGTAGCATTATCCAAGCATCCTCTTGGAGTGTTTGTTTTCTAGAACATGTTGCTCGTGTTCTGCCATTCGTGTTTCAACAAGTAAAAAGCTGAGAAAGGAACTCTACCATCTGGATCTTTTAGGATAGTTGAGAGACCTCCTTCTCTGAAGCAGCTCAAAACTATTGCAAGTACTTGAATATTAATGAAATAAGGAAGATAGTTAAAATGAACCCCTGTTTCTAAAACCTGTTTTGCAAATGACAATGTGCATTTGCTGAATAACTGCATGAGCCCTGAAAGCTCAGAGTGCCAGTGAGTGGTCCAGTTTGCTGCTTCCCTTAGTCTCAAGGGTACGGAGTGTGCTCTCCCCTTTGTAATCTTACAAAGTTAAGATTGTACTGCTAAAAAGTTAGTGTTTTCAGTTAACTTGTTTCCTTCAACCTCTTCTGTACTCGTGCCCCACCCTCTAATGATCCCAAGCCTTTTCTGGCTGAAGTTCAGAAGTAGCTGTAGGATCTCTGCTTTCTCTTAGCCTGTTGGCAACAGTCAGAAAACAAGGTTACCTAAATCACATTTCAACTTTATTATAAAATTATAAACCAAACTTCTGTACCAAAACTAGTAAGTTTAACCATCATAGTACCAAGAGGATTTACTAGAGAATAACAGGTCATTTCAAGTAGAATATTAACTTTTAAAATATTTAAACTATGTACAGTGTACATAAAGCACATAAATATTTCCATTTACTTTATTAGTTCAGATCATTATATTCCTTTGGATCATTAATCAGTTTCCTCCAGATTTTGATTTTCCTTTAAAAACAACTCAATCATATCCATAGTAGAGAATCCATTTTTGCAAGAGAAACACTGTAGTCAGGAAAAAAAAAAGGAAAAAAAAAAAAGAGAAAATCCTCCCTTCAGAAAGCACGTTTCAGAGTCATATGGTGGGTATATCTTCTCATTCCTAAAATTTCAGGCATTGATCTGCAACTTGATTTATCTGCTGTAGAAAATAAGCCTACCCTCTACAAGTAAAAGTACATCTGTCCACAGGGGAATAATCTTCCTGCTAAATTCCCCCAGCCCTGAGTTTATTGAAAGATACAACAACATGAATTTTCACAGTGAATTTACTAAATGAGGCTGTTCAACACTGTATGTGTCATTCCTGTACCTCTCAAAGAGGTCCCTGTGAACCTCTTGAAGAGTAAATACAGTTAGTGCTTACCTGCATTTTTTTTTATTTTTTAACATGATGCATTGAATTGTACCAGTACTCTTCTCATGCTGGACGCTGTTGAACTGTAAGCCAAAGATTAGAGAACAACCCAAACAGGGAAAGAGGTAAAACTCAGAATTTTTAGTTCAATAAACCTCAGCAGCTCTTGCATTTTTGTGGAGTTCAGAGACCACCTCAATAGTGCAGAGGTTCTGCTACCTACCGAGTGGCAGATTTCTTCATCTTAAGTGCTTTTTTGATTACAACTTGCAGAGTAGAGACCCTCCACTCCATGCCAGTTGAGAAGTGAGTTGCTACTCATGCAATATTCCATGTTAAAGATTACACAAGTTTAATTTGCTGTTAACATGTATTACCACTTATTGCAAAAGTAGATGGCTTTGGTGATTATTTCTGTATCTCCACTTCCACTACTCCAGAAGCTGTAAGTGGACACTTGTTTTTTATGCTGTTCCTCTGCTGGCAGCCATGTGGAGATTCAGTTTGAGCACTAAATGATCACACACACACCCCCATAAAGGGGAAAGCTAGACAGGAAAAAACCTGCAGCAGAAGGTACTCAACTTCACAAATGACTTGAAATGAGCGTACAGTCTCATGGTAGCTGAAAAACTTAAGGCATCAAGATTCTGAAACTTAGCTGAGTTACCAGCCAAATGGACTGAATGCTTGCAGGCCAGTTACAATTTTCTCTAGCAAGGCTTCCAAACGAACATGCTGGTCATGAGGATAGCTGCAAGGGCTTGCAATTGTCTCAGATCAGACCACAGCACCTCCTATCCACCCTCACAAGCAGAAAGAGTACAAAATAAATTGGTTTTGATAAGCAGTCTGAATGCAACAGGACTGTAAAATTGAGCAGAGGGGATGATAGGGGGGAAGCTGATTAGTAAACAGAAGCATCTGCAGTGATGCTCACTCATCTTACTGATTCAAGGGAGATAAAGCTTGCTTTCTTTCATGTCTCCCCTCTAAGAAGTCACCTGTACTTAAATATGATTGTGTAACAATGAAATCCTCACTACTATTAGCTGTATGTTTTCCTCACTAAACCCTCTTAAAAGACAAGCCTTAGATTCATAGCTCCTTAATCAGGTGAAGTCAGTTCAGTTTTAGAACAATTGCTGGCATATACTGTAAGGAAGCCTGTGAAGTCAAAGGAATCAACAACAGTCAGACTGGAAATCTCCCTCTCCCTGGCATGTAAACAGAAAACTACCACCACACAAGGTAAGGCTGTATGTTTCACAGAGTCTCACTCCCCTTACATTTTTCAATAATACAAAGTCCATCTTCAAATAAAATTACACATTTTTCCACAATTGCACTAGGCTAGAATTATGCTTATTCTGAATATGGAAATCAGAGGCTGGCTGCCTGTCCTGCAAGCATAAGAATTTAACATTAAATTAAAAAAAAAAAAATTAACAAGCACAGTAAAATTTTAATCTTTGAAAATAAAGTCGTTGCTGGGTGTATAGCCTAAGCAGCAAAACAAACGTCACTTTTTGAGACCCCGGTCCACTTTTGTTTATTATTCAGGGGAAAACATGAAGCCTCTGAATCTGATCTTTGTGGTGGAAAGCCAAGCATCCATCTATGCCCAACGCTAGTGGATCAAGTTATTCTAGGATGCAGGTTGTTAATGATGTCTGTGTCTGCTGCTGGCAACAAGCTCCAAGGAGTCCAGGCACTGTGGTGTAAAGCACTATAGTGGGAAGAGCACAGCCAGGCACGGCTTGAGCAAGAGCAACTTTCCCCAGGCTTCATCCTTCCCTCACTTCCAGCTTCCAGTGGGGTCCATATGCTAATCTCTGACCTATCTAGCAATTTTGACCATTTCTCTAACAGCAGATGAGGCTTTAAGGCATCGCCAGTCTTCCTTACACACACCTAGGACTTAAAGACGTGGACAGCCCTTATCACGTACTGCCTGCATATGGGACATTCGCTCATCCGCTTCCCACACTTGGTGCAGGTGACCATGTGGCCGCATTCTAGCAGGACGCAGTCAATGGGTGCGTCCATGCAGATTTTGCAGAGGTTGTCCTCCGTGCCAGGGAGCCCAGCACCACCTGAGTAAACAAGAGACCACAGTTTGCATGAGACAAAGAGGTATGTCGGTTTTGTGCAATCTGTGAGTTGGCTTTATCAAAGGGCTTCCCTAATGTACTTTTACACACTGAAGGTCTGGAAAAAAATTCCCTTTGCGTCTACACTGATGAGGATATATCTGCTCCATCAACTGGCAAGGAGCAGAAAGTTTTATCTTTCACACAGTAATCTCTGTGTGATGAAAACAGAAATACCACTGAGAATCTTAGCAATGAGGCAAAGGAAGCAACATGGGTCTCTTCTTCCAGGTAACAAATGATAGGACGAGAGGAAACAGCATCAGGTTGCGCCAGGGGAGGTTTAGGTTGGATATTAGGAAAAATTTCTCCACTGAAAGAGTTGTCAAGCACTGGAACAGGCTGCCCAGGGAAGTGGCTGAGTCACCATCCCTGGGGGTATTTAAAAGACGTGTAGACGTGGCGCTTAGGGACATGGTTTAGTGGTGGGCTTGGCAGTGTTAGGTTGATCTAAGATCTTAAGATCTCCATGATTAAGGGGCTCTTTTCCAACCTAAATGATTCTATGATTAAGACTATCACTCACCAGTTTGATCGTCAGTGTCGGAAACTGCAACATAAGAAGAGAAAGTTATTTGGTGAGAATAAGAGAAGCTGGAAAAAAAATTTACTCAAGCAATATTATTAAGCAGGAGATGAAAGCCTTGAAGGGAGATTACTAAACCAAAACTGCTTTTTGCTGATCCCCATGCAGAGAGTTGTCAAGCACTGGAACAGGCTGCCCCGGGAAGTGGTTGAGTCACCATCCCTGGGGGTATTTAAAAGACGTGTAGACGTGGCGCTTAGGGACATGGTTTAGTGGTGGGCTTGGCAGTGTTAGGTTGATCTAAGATCTTAAGATCTCCATGATCTTAAGGGTCTTTTCCAACCTAAATGATTCTATGATTAAGAATATCACTCACCAGTTTGATCGTCAGTGTCGGAAACTGCAACATAAGAAGAGAAAGTTATTTGGTGAGAATAAGAGAAGCTGGAAAAAAAATTTACTCAAGCAATATTATTAAGCAGGAGATGAAAGCCTTGAAGGGAGATTACTAAACCAAAACTGCTTTTTGCTGATCCCCATGCAGAGGTTCAAGCTGAATCTCTGATCAGGATAGGTTGTTCAACTGGCAAGAAACTTCCTCTTTTACTGAGCTTACACAATAGCTAAGACTTCACAAAGATAAGCAACTATCTGAAGTGATGTCTCAATTTTTAAGACAGCCTTGGAATTTATGCAGTGTTTGCCTTCCGAGAACTACACTTTCAGTAGCCCCCTGTGCCAGTTTCTTTGGTGTTACACAATCTCACCGATATTGTTGAGCACAGCTGAGACACATGCACAGGCAACAGAGAAAAGGATAAATTCTGTCAAAAGCACAAGATACAATGAAAGAAGAATGTAAAACCGAAGTGGTTGTCTTAAATCTTTTGTCATTCATAGAGGGCAAAGCTTAGAGAGATGTGTTTAAGAAAACAACGCTACTTTGGACAGCACTGAGAAACAAACCTATCTATGAAATCAAAGTGTTAAAATATGTTTCTCTCTTGTAAATAATTTACAAGTATTTGTCTTTTTTAACTAATCACCTAGAATTGCAAACTGGCACATAGTTGACTGAAAGTCAAGTCAGATACATTCTCTATGCACCTCTATCGCACCACTATC